ATTTGAGATATAATTAGTTCATATATGATAACAAAAAATAATTTATTTTTAAAATTGTCTAAAGTATGCCCCTTTAATATTAAAAAGTCTTGACTTTAAAATTCGGCAATGACTAAAAAATATTGAGAAACTTGTAATGTTCATCAATAATAATGAAATACAAGGCTTTGGTTTTAATCATCTGTTATTACTTTTATTTTTGTAATTTATTTATAGAATAAGTTTGTCCATCCTAAAAACAGATTTTGGTTCCACCCCTAGTTATAAAACAGACCTTTGCAGTATTTCCATGATACTTCATGTATTTTATAAATTAAATATTTATAAATAAATGTAAACTAAATTCTAATATATATTTGTCAACCTTAATAAATATTAAAATATATATCACCAATTATAATGTGTTGTTCTATAAAGTTAGTTTGTAAGGTAGTACCCACTCAAAAAGTCCCGGATCTTAGATATTATGATGACGAATGATTTATTTAGGGATCATAATTGTTATATGACCAAAGTTGTTGCATAGTTTGGTAATATAAATGAAAAGATGTTATTCTTTTATAATTTCTTTGATGATCTAAAAAAAATTGTGTTCATTAATATTATTAAAATAAATCAAATAGGTCTTTGAAAATCAAATAAATTGTTGCAGTTTTGACACAATAGTCGATATGCTCTGTAATGTTCATAAGCTTATAGCTGAAAATAATGTTGCTACATCTTTTGATGCTCATAGTTAGCATATTACAAATTAAAGACAGACCAAAGCAGTCTAAAATGGCCCTATCATAGTAATGGCTGGTAACCGATCTTTATTCCTCACCATTCACAACTTTCAAATTTGTACTTTCCACCGCAGCATCTATCACTAGGACTTGGCCACCCCAACAATGCTATTCTCTTGACAATCTCCAAACATCAAAAGTTATTATGCGCTCCTCCTAATACTACATGATATAATGTTTAGTAACTCCATTAAAAGTCATCATTAATCATTCTACGTGTCCAAAAAGGTGTTTACAAAATATTAGGACTTGTATACTATAATGTATGACGACCTTCTCTGCTTATTGCTATTCAAGGCTAAAAGTATTTATCATTAAAAATAATTTCTCTCATCTTTATCTAGTTTTTCCTATGTTACCAAATCCAACATGCCTCACAAATTTCTTCACTTCAAAATCATGGTTGAGAGGCAACGAAAAAAAACATATATCTTCAACAATTTCTCCGTGCTCCCGACAAAATAAAATTAATATAATTCTCCACATAAGTCGGAGCAAAATGGAGTAGTCGCATGCAAAAGTCACCTCATTAAAACAACTTGCACGCTTATACACGAAGGGTGGGTTTAGGGCAATGGCGGTGCGGCATTGCATAACAATTTTTCTATTCGCTTGCATTCTCAAAAAATTGTAACTGAAAACTGTGTTTTCCCACCAAACCTGACTACCTGTGATGGCTGTTAGAAAGCTGTGATTTTACTTTTTTTTTTTTTTTTAAGAAGAAATATAATAACCACCACAATTTTTTGAAAAACTTCTTCTTTAGCTTGACAATTACTTCTTCAAATAGCCGCAACAGCCCCAAATAGGCCCAAAACTTGTTTTTCCCAATAATCCATGGATTGAGATCTTATGGTGGTATATTTAATAAATTGTATTCCATCCCAGGCAACCAATATGAAATCCTCCAATCAACTACTCTATCCAAAGAATGCCTATTCCCATCTCCAAGTACTAAGATTTTAATTCTTCCCATGGCTCCAACCATATTCACCTTATAAATGGGCGTAGCACCACACCAATTCTATCTTCATTGGATAATCATCCTCACACACATGATCAAAATTCACAAACTCAATCACAAACAAGACTATAAATTTATCATCATTCTCCAACTCAATCACTAACAAGATCATAAATCTATCACCAAATACCTTCACTCTAGAACTCAACCCAACCTCCTATCACAGCAACCCAGACATTGACACCTATGCCTCTAACATTCGTTCCAGCTTGTTGTACTTCCACATCTCTTCACCATAATCACACAAATACTATAGCCACAAACAATATCCCATCACCCACTCCATCCACATACCCTCCACCCACCCAATTACCTCTCAAATAAGTTCCTTTACCTCCCCGCAGTCGCAACACCATTCATCTTTCCATAACCATAACATGCATACCTAATTTAAAATGAGGTCGCTAAAATTCAAACTATCTACAATTTGTCTTATGATCACCATGCAACAACAACCCCACAAGCTATGACCAAGTGGTCTGAGAGTTAAAATGGAAACAAGTCATATCTCAGGAATTTAATACCCTTCAAAAACAAATTACGCAACTTCTTGTACGGTTCCCCTCAGAAAACTCAATCTTGATGACAACATTGCTCGTCATAACCAGATTGTAATTGCTCAAAGATACAAGCAAGAACAAGATATTGGGCACTAGTAAAACATCCAGCCCAGCCAAAAAAATACATCATTTCAGATTTCTCCTCACCATTACTCTACAGCGCAATCGGACAAATCCTCAACTCAAGGTCTCAAATGCGTTCCTCAATGATAAACTTGCCGATCCTATATGCATGCATCAACCTCCAAGTTTTCAAAATCAGCAACATTCTAACTACGTATAGATGCCATGGAAGCCATTTCTAGGCTTAAACAAGAACCTTTTCAATGGCTTTCTACCTTTCCTGGCAAACTACCGTGAGGTGGTTTCTTTTCAGCAAAGCTGATCATTACTCATCTACCTACAAAATCAAATCAGCATTCATCTGCAAATATATTGACGATATACTTCGTATAGACAGTAAACGGAAAGCCATTTCAAATCTCATACAAAACATGCATTCAGCCTTCAACATGAGTCCATTCAGTAATAAATCATGCTTTCTCGATATTCAAGTCTTGTTGACACCACATGGCTTCTTCCCTGATCAAGAAAGATATATTAATGACCTTAAAAAACCAGGCATGGCTGATCACAAACCTATGCTTAATCTCATACCTGCAAAACAGTCAACCAACCCAACCTCAAGCACAGAATTTGGTAATCCTTAAATTTATAGAAATCTAACAAACTCACTACAATAGCAAATCATTATTACATCAAAGGAACGTCCACTTCTGGCTTACCAATTCAAAAAAAGGATCTAACTTTACACACCTACTTAAATTCCCATTGGGCTAGTCACCTAAAATATAGATAATCAATAGGTCTTTATACATAGCTCGGAAACACTCCAATCTACTAGATTATCAGAAAAAAAAAAGTACCATAGCATGAACATTGACTGAAGCAAAATATCAAACTCTTGTTGCTACAACATATATTCTAGCTTCCTTGTCTTCTACAGAAATTTGATGCATCAACAACTCATCCCACACATCACTATGGAGTAATATTTCGGTCATGGCGCAACAAACAATCCTGTATTTCATGCCCACAAAAAACTAATTGAAATTAACCATCACTTCATTCAAAATCATATTCTAAGGAAATCCAAGTACCACATGTCAATACAGAACATCAATCGGCAGAAATGATTACTAGAAAATTTCCTATGACAATGTTCAACAAGAAGTATGATAAGTTTAACACACTAATTTTGGACTATCAACTTGAGGCAACAACTCTAACAAACAACCCCGAAATCAAGCATATAGAGCAGGCACTAGTGTTCCCAAATCAATTGTCAACAACCGACGATAACAACTACCATGATTCTCAACGTTTACAAATAGCAAATCTCTTTCCTCTCTGTTGTACTCATACTCTGCCTTAGTCTATAAAATATAATACTACAATATTTCACTATGCCTTAAATCACTGGAAAAATGGTTTCTTCTCCTCGGTCTTCTTTGATCATGTATGTAGTCTTATTCCCATTGTTACCGTAATATGTTATAATGATAAATATAAATAAACTTCTTCGAATGAATCTTTAACCAGCCAAGAATACGAGAAAGATCTTCTAACTTCCATAAAAAAATTAGAGCATCCCAAAGAGAGCATTAGAAAAGGTAAACTCATACATGCAAATAAGCCTTAGAAACGACAAAAATTAAAATTACGTGAAAACCAATCGCAATTCAATCTCAAAAAAAAAAAAAAAAAAAAGAAAAATATGAATACCTATCAAAACATGACAGAATTTCCTGGAATGGAAGTTACCAGTACTCCAATCTCCTTTTCAGATCATAACAATGAATCCACTGAGTTTTATGCAGCTTGACAGTTTTAATTCATACGACAATCAAGAAATTGAATTTGACAAAGGACAATCTCATAGATGTGATAGAAATTAATCCAATCATCCTCTATGCTAATGAAGCACCTTTAAAAAACATTTTTTTAATCTAATTCTATTGTCAGAAACACAGAAAGACAAAAAAATACATACAATTATACCTATTTTTAATTTGCCTCCGCAGGTTGAATAGAAACATGAATCAAGCCCCAAAAATGTTTAAGGCATACTTGGAGGTAAGATCGAAATAGGTGTAAGAAAAATGATAGCATTTCTTCAAAATCTAGCAAAATGTAATTTTTCCAAATATTTGTAATAAGTGCGAGAAAGCAGTCTGCTCCAAGATATCTTAGTAGGGAAACAGCTCCCTCACAAGCTTTGCTCGCAAACCTTCCAGTGAAGAGAAAATATTCCCAACTAGCAAAACACTCCTATAGCTCCAGACATTGGAATCACCCTTTTCCATCGCACTCAACACACACCTGAATTTTCTAGACTAATTTATTCTAATAATACACATGCAAGCTTGCAATCTCTATCAAGTAAAACTTTAAAAAATGGAAAGTAATAAAAAAATATTCACGTTTTCACATAGACTTCTCAGGAAATATAAAAAATGCTTGCATTTTGAAGGACTTTTATCATGAAGCAGCAATCAAACGTACCGAACATCAAAGCAATAAAAGAACATTTTAAATGAACACTCCAAAATCCACCGAAAGCTCACTAAATAAGATTGGAAAAAAACATGTAGTTGCATGATAATAACAATTTGGACGGTAGACTTGCAAGTGTATTGGAAACATCTCTTGATAAAGATACTTAGTCGTTCTGAAATTATAAGCTAGTTTACATTATGCAGATTTCAAGCCACCATCTCATTGATGGAAAAGCTATCAAACTTCCCAGTCATCATTGCCTTCAAATCATACTCGGGTATATGAGAATGGTATAATTTCTCATGCTGAAAATGCGGCTACGGACCACTTGCATATAAACGAGTCCATTCCTTAGCTGTACCATTCCAGGTAAATGAATAAAAATACAAACAAAATAAAAAATTAGAATGGCATAAATTCCGTCCCCTAAAGAAAATCAAAAGTTGACAGCTTGGTTCCAGCAAAAAGGAAACCAAGAATGAACATATACTCTACAAAAAATGGGCAAACCTGTCTCAACAGCTTCGGCTTCGTTTGTTTTCCAATGTTTAGCAATGTTGTCAGAAAGTGGGTCGTCTGGGTTTGGAGCACTCAGAAGGGCTTGGATGCTAAAAAAGAGAAAAGTAAATAAGCATTCTTAGTATCATTATGAAAAATGATGGGTCATTTTCAAGAATAGTACTTTTAATCAGCAAGAAATTATCTAAATAAAGTGTAATATGTGGCATTAAATAAAATGACTCAAATTTGCAATTTATAAAGTGGTAAATGCAAAATTAAATAGATGCACAGGAAAAGAAAGCAACATCTTGCATTCACAATGTCTATCGCGGAGCTGCTTATATAATAAACGCTAGTTCATATTTGCCGAGAGTGGTGAAAATGTTCAAAGATAATAAAGGAATCCTAAATTTATTTGAATAAAAGCTTCTAAATTCTCTCTCATGTGCAGATGACACATTAGCAGGAACTTTAATTTTTCACATTTAATTTTTCACATAGCTATGGTGTTGAACGGACCTGCAATTCCAAAGGTAATGGTTTATCACCACTTAAGCTACATTGAGATTTATGTTCTTGTTGATATAAGTCTCCAGAATTGAGAGAAACCTATGAACAATTATGAACACACAAGTCAAGATGAAAATGAGCGGTGACAAGGTATTATTGTATGGAAAGTTCTATAGGTAATTGCTAGCATGCTTTCTGTCCGCGTTGAAGTATGAGTCAGGCAGTTAATATTTTTCAACTTTATTAACATTTGTTGCAGCCAATTAACAAGAAAGAATAAAATTAGTTGATTATGTTAAAAACAAACTTCTTAAGGGGGTCATATTTCGATTTGTGCATGACAACAGATGCTTGCTAGACAAGAGAATTAAGAGCTCGTCACCTCAACAGAACTGTCCTAATTTGCAGAGCAGGACTCCACTTATCTTTCAGAATATCAAGACAAATCCTTCCAAGCTGCATTTGTAAATGTCTTCCATCAAGAAAAAATAACGGAAAAAAAATCATATAAACCAATAAAGGTGTCTGTACTTGCCTTGTCAATGTTGGGATGGTATATTTTAGTAAGAAAACGGACCTGTTGCAACAATGACTTAAACATTTACAGTTCATATGTCAAAGATTCTGATGTGCATGAAAAGAAGATGAAAGGATGAAAAGATTCTTCCAGCATATTAAAAAAACAACTGAATGCGTCCGTGAATATGAAAGGATTAGTAAAATGGTAAAAAATTGAAGAAAATAATCATGTTTTATCTTTAAGAAATTAACAATGATCATATAGGTTCATGAGTCATCAAATTTATATAATAAAAAAAATATTAAATTTAAAAAATAAAAACTGTCCGATAGCCCTGATAGGAAACATAAATATAACATGCAAGCGCAAATTCAAGTGATCTAGGCACACATCAAAATGTACCTCGTAAAGGTTATATTCCGACTGATGCACAACAACAAAACAAATGGGAAGAAGTATTAAAAGCCACATAAAACTAACCTATATATGATCTAAATACATGAATCATTGTAAGCGTTTTTGCATCCTTGATGTAAATACCTTATGCCGTAAAAACTAAATGGAGATGAATCAACAGGCAGGTCTAGCATTTGTAGTGAATACGATAATAGTGTTAAAAGCACAGGACCATATTCAGTTGACTCCATGATTGAATTTTCCTTTTTTCACTAGTCTTTATTTTTTTTTATTGTTATTGCTTTCAATAAAAAAAATACTTGAAGGGTCTAATTTATTCACTGTTCGCAAAAAATAGAGACAAAAAACATATTTGAAATTAAAAAACAAAATCAGATTAATTTTGATTTAATCATCATAAATAAGCATCTTTAAATTATAATTAATACCATGAAAGACCTAGAATTATAATTAATACCATGAAAGACCTAGTTATATTTAATCTTATTTAAGATTTACACGATCCAGGTTACGTCAAAAAGCACATATGAATTAATAAATTCTTGAATTCAAAAATATTTTAATCAATTACATAAATAAATATTTTTTCAAACTAAATTAATTAATTGTTGGCATATCAACCTCAAATAACCACAAATAAATGAAACCAAAGCCATAGATTCAAAATACTGTTATTAATTATACTTGATAACTAATTTATTAGCTAATTATCAGTACCTAATTAATACACATAAACCTTAATATAACATTCAATGATCTCACTAAAAAACTAATTCTACATTATTTCCCTAAGTAAACAGTTACTTATCATAATAACTAACTCGCGAACATTAAGAACCTCCGAGCGAGAAAAAAATAGTTAATTATAGGTGACTCTAGTGATTTAAGAGTTAATTAATTATTATTGCTTTCTCTAAATCCATAGATGGTTATATTCAAGGTCAAATTTGTAGTATATGTGGCTTTACGGTTAAATTGGCGGTTACTATTAAGCTTTCCAAATTGATTATGATTGATTATCATCCTCTTACTTTAAATTATATTATTGGTTGGCTGGTTGGAAGCAAAAACTCTTATGGGCTGCTAGTAGATCGCAACTCATAAAGTTTAATATTTCAAATTACATGTTTCACTGGCCTACTATTTTACCAAAAAGTTTGAAGAAGAAAAATATTTTATGATTTTCAATTTTCTTTGAATAATAATAACAATAAAAAGCTTCATACTATTAGTTGCAATATCATTAAGATACAAAAACATACTGGAGGTCTTGATATCCCTTCCTTGGATAATATTAATGTGTAGTGTAAGTCAAAAAAATTATGGAATTTATACAATGATAGTTCTTAGCTTTCTAAATAGTGTGTTAATCATTATGGCTTTATTTGGAATAATTCTCATGTTTTGTCTTCTCCTTTTTTAAAATTTTACTAAAATTGCCTCTAAGATAAGAATTTATTTAAATATTAAAGTTACTAATAATAATATTTTATATTTTCTTTTCTGATCCTTGATTACGATTTATCTTTTAAAGATCATTTTGGTGATATTATTTTTACTTGGAGTAATTATCCTGAGTATGTTTTGCTTAAAATGTCAATATCGAAGGTTGGTGAAATTTAATTAATATTAACAATTTTTTGGGTTATGCTTGTCTTTAGAATCATAAAATTTCTTACTCTCATAAAATTGATTATTATTCTCTTTATGATTCTGTTCCTTGTGTTGATTGGTTTAAACTTTTTTGGTTTGAAGGATATTTTATGAAATTTGCCTATCACAATGGGAAAATTACTCATGAAGATTTGAAAACTTGAGATACCCTTTCTCGTAGAAAAATGAATATTAATAATATTTATTTATGTGATAATGTGTTTGAGGCTCATGATTATCTTTATTTTGAATGTTATTTTTCTCATTATCTTCTAAACAAATGTGTGCCTAATAAGAATTTCTTTAGATCCCTTACCGACATTTTTTCAGTTTTATATCATTCTAATAATATTCCTTGCAAAATTTAGAAAAGGTCTCATCTTTTGGCTATACAAGTTACTACTTAATTTTAGAAAAAATCATTGCTCTTTGGAAAGACTTATTTATTATATTCATTGGATGATTATTTTTAAAAATAGGAAGTGGAAGTTAAATATGCCTATTCCTACTTCTATTAGAAATTTTTATAAGTTCTAATCCTCCGCCTCTATTTTATTTGTAGGAATTTTCATTTGTTTTTAGTTGTTTGGTGGTTTTGGTTGAGCTTTGTTGCACCTGTTCCTTACTTTAACTCTAACCATCCTTTGAAACATTAAAGTGGTTTTCTCATTTATTTTGTTTTGATTCAATAAACTTGGATAGAAATAGTTCAACTATTTAATGAATTTATCTCAAAAGTAGTTGAGATTCTGTGATAGCTACTTTTATTTTGTGATGGATGCTACATATGTCAAAGATGTTGTTTTGGCTCTCTTTGTGCTTTGCTAGCATTTTCTTACTCCTTTTTAACAAGATTTTTATTTCACTAAATTTGGATGGACATTTTGGTTTATGAAGAGTTTTATTTGGTGATGTTGTTGCTTGTAATAGTTTTTTCTTTGACTACTGGTTGATATTGATTGTTTGGTGCTCTATTTTTGTCCTTATGTGTTTGTTACTAATTGGCTCTCTGTGTTGCTTTTGTTTATCTATTTTTGTTCTGTTATATCAAGTATTTCTCTTTAACTATCACTGTGGATCCTTTAGCAGTTCCTATTTTGGTATTAGCTATTTCAAGTTTTTTTGTTTTGTCTTTGTGATTTTAAGGTTGATGCTCCTATTACTTTTGATTTTGGTATTAGTTTTTCCTTTTGATTTTAAGGTTGATGCTTCCAATATTATATTTCTTCTTTAATGTTTACTGATTGCTGAGATTGGTTATGAGCATTGATGAGTTCTAGTCGTTAATAGAATTCAACCAGATTCAGAATTCATCAGAATTATGAATTCTAAATATTGGATGGAATTTTAATATTTTCTTGCAGGCTTGAAGATTTATAGATTTGATGTTGAGGTTGATGTTGTTGTTGCTAGTGACTGTGAGCTTGCTATTGTTTGTCTTGTTGTTACTCCCCCCATACATACCACCTAATTTATGTGTATTTATCACATTGAAATTGAAAATATCACTATTTTAACTTTTACGAAGTTAAATACACATTTTCATTCGAACGTAAGCTACTATGTATGTAAAAATTGAAGTTTAGGTGTTAGATATGTAAATACATAGGAATTGAATGATCTAATATGTAAATCTTAAGAAAAAAAATACCAACATTTCAATGTTATGGTAGTTTTGTTTTGTTTTAAAAAAAATAGTTTTGCATATTCTCAATGAATGTTGGTATTATTTTTTTGTGATATTTGAGTGAAGCAAAATAGAAAATAATAAAATAAATAAATAACTATAGTTTTTGCAGCTCTAGATTTATTTATTAATTTCTTGTATGTATTTCTTTATTAATCTTTCTAATAATTATTTTCTAATTAGTGTGAGATTCATACGAAACTTGCAATTTCATTAAAATATATTTAAAGTGCAGCTTTACACTAAAATATGAAATTAATTTTTAAAATTTATTTTTGATTACCATTTAAATTATGTTGTAGTTAATAATATAAAAAATAATTTAATGTTAAATTTATTTTAATCTTAGCTTACTTAAATTAAATTAAAATTTTAGTTATAATTCATAATGGGCAAGATGGACACATCGCTCTCTACCTTTTTAGCATGCTAATTCATCCCATCTTGCTCTTCATTGTGAAGGTCTTAGAAGCGTCCATCAAAATAACTCCCAATCATCTACTCGAAGTGTCAAATTCATCCCCATGCTTCCTGAAGCTTCTCTTCTCTCTCCATATTCCAGTCAGAGAAAACATTAGTTTTAACTTCATATAGAATAATATAATTGTGTATATGTCTAACATTTATATTTATGTTTTTAATTTGTAATAGATGTTATATGTCAAGTTAGCCGGAAAAGTTCTTGACAGAGGAGTAAGGATTAGCAGAGATCGGGCAAAGCTTCGGGTTAAATATTTTTAATTTGTAATAGATGTTATATGTCAAGTTAGCCGGAAAAGTTCTCGACAGAGTAGGGATTAGCAGAGATCGGGCAAAACTTCGGGTAAAGTGATTAGTATTATATTCTATTTTTTTTTTACATTTGGAATCTAATTTGTATAACTTATTATTTTGCAGAATTATTATTCTTCGATGAAAATCAATCCTAATTTAAGGAGCGACAGTAATTTGAGATAAAATTAGTTTCATATATGATGACAAAAAACAATTTATTTTTAAAATTGTCCAAAGTGTGCCTTTAATATTAAAAATTAGCAACGACGAGTCCTTACTTTAAAATTGGGCAATAACTAAAAAATAATGAAAAGCTTGTGATATTCATCAATAATAATGATATACAAGGCTTTAGTTTGAATTATGTGTTATTATTTTTATTTTTGTAATTTGTTTATATAATAAGTTCATCCATCCTAAAAACAAAGGTTGGTTCCACTCCTAGTTATATAATAGACCTTTCTATTATCTCATGATACTTTGTGGCATGTATTTTATAAATTAAATATTTATGAATAAATGTAAA